GTCCTTCGGGCCCGGCCCGTGCTTCTCCATAATGGCAGCGGTTTGCAAATCCTCCTCCTCCAGGCTCTTGAGCTCTGGCAGGTACGGGACATCGTAGCTGTCACAAACGGCGTTGATGACCTCGCGCAGCTCGATCAACTTCATCGTGTCATGGCCATCATACTGAGGCCAGCGCTCCGACTGTCGGCGGATGCTCTTCACGATCTCCGGCAACTCCTCGAGCGCCATGTTCTCGATGTACTCCTCGACACCGGTTTTTCCTTTGGGGAACTCGCACTCAAATGGGAAGCACCCAAGTCTTCAGCTCCTTGACGCAGTGTCCACGCAGTCGAGGCCCATAACCTATTGAAAGACGATTTGAGCTGAGACAGTAAAGCGGTTCAATTGCACTTCTCTCACAGGAGAGAACGATAGAAAACAGGAAGGGAAATATCCAAAAGAAAATGCCACTCACGGTCAGCGGGACCGTACTTATAATCCGGTGGCTAAACACACCCAGAGTGTACGAGAGGGTTCCTCGACGGGCGGCGGCAGCTGCACATCGTCGAGTACACTTATGCAATCCTTCCAGAGGGATCTGGCAGGTGGTCGATGCTTGCACTCCAATATGCCAGTTGCCGTGCCGCGAGCCGTGGAAGAGGCTGCGTCGACGGCCTTGCAGCAAGAGCCAAGCCAGCACAAAGACCACACGCAGCAACAAGAGTATGAAGATCAGCTTTGGCTGGCTCAATGTGTGCGGCAAGCGTGGAAGACAACATTTCGCGACTGGGATCAGTATCGATTGGCACAGGCTGTGACTCGGCACGAAGCCCAGGACGGCTGGCTGTTGGCCGTGGCCCCGACGGGCATGGGCAAGACGCTGTGTACACTCGCTCACCTCCAGCCACGCAAGGTCGTGGTGTGGGTAGTCCCGCTTCGTGAGCTTGCCAGAGACTTGTGCCGCCGCTTCGAGCAGGCTGACATTGTATCGCAGTGGGCTAAGAATGATGGCCGTGACATGCAAGTCAACGTTCAAGTGATTGTCATGACGGTCGACTTTTTGGTTGGCTATGGGATGAGGTGGATGCAAACACTCGTGCAGCAGAAGCGTCTGGCCATGCTCGTGATGGACGAGGTTCACACAATGCTCGTGGACACTAGCTATCGAGGGAGTCTTGTTCGCTGCCCAAGCCGGCTGGACCATCTTTGCCAAGACCCACCTGTCAAGTGTGTGGGCCTGA